GGCCCCAGGCTGGGGGCTCGCACTGCCCACGTGTGGACGCCCCTGGCGGGGCCCTGCTCCGTCTCCTGTGGCAGAGGTGAGGCCCCTGAACACCCAAGCTCATTAGCTAGCTCTTGCCTGCCTGCGTCTGGCTTAGTTCTAAAAAGCATTTGGGTGGCTTCTAGAAAATTCCAGCTGTGCGAGGAAGTGCCAGTGTACGAGGAGATTGAGGTAGAGTGCAGACAGCCCTGCACTAGTTCAGTGATCATCCAAGAGACAGAAAAGATCGTAAAACATATTGGCACCAAGAGCCTATGTCCTTAGGTCCAGAGAAGCTGGGAGAGACGGGCCCACATTTAGCTCTGAGCTCCTGGTGCCAAACCAGAGAAACAAATGAAAGATACACAGTGGCCTCCAACTCCCACTGCTCAGTGCAACCTCGGCTCGTTCAGAACGGAGCCAGAGGTTTCTTTTGAGGAAGTTCCCGATGTGTTGATGGCAAACACAGTAAGGGGTGTTTAGAGCAGTTCTCATACTGCCCCTCAGGAAACCTATGTGCCAGGCACTTCGTAACTCCCCCTCGAAAGTCTCTGAACACATCCCTTCGAGTGAGCCATCAGCATACGAAGCACCCTGAGGCTCAGAGAGCTTAGGTCACTGTCCAAGGTCACACAGCTGGTCAGTGGCAGAGCCAGCCCTCGCTCGAGCTCTTCGGAGAGCCGGCACCCGTGGTCCTGGCTGAGCCCTCCTCCTGGGCCCGGGGTCCCTGCTTCCTCCCGGCAGGCCAGACGGAGCTGCGTTTCGTGTGCATGGACTCCGCCCTGGGGACAGCTGTCCAGGAAGAGCTGTGTGACCTGGCGAGCAAGCCGGGGAGCCGGCGCGAGGTCTGCCAGGCTGCCCCGTGCCCGGCTTGGTGAGCGGGGAAGGAGACTGCGCGGGGCAGCAGCCTGGTCCCCCTCTTGCCCTGGGCTGTGGCCTCCTGCAGGTGGGAGAACCGCGCCTTGGGGCCGTGCCTGGTGACCTGTGGCAGTGGGCAGCTGTCGCTGGCTGTGCGCTGTGTGAGGCGGGACCGTGGACGCTCCGTCCCCCTGCCTCACTCCAAGTGCTGGCCGGCGCCCTGCCCCGCCAGGTGGGCCCCTCCCCCAGGAGGCAGGTGGTCCGAGGGGTTTCATGGGGCGATGGGTAAAGCGCATGGCCCGGATCTGGGTGCTGTGGGCACACGTGGTGGATGGCTCGTTCTGTCACCGCCTGCTCCTACTGAGCACCCACTGTGCCAGGCGCTGCTGTGGCACGAGGGGTCACAGCACTGAACCGACAGCACCTCTGCCCTCCCGAAGCAGATGCTGGGGACGGGCAACGGGCGGCAAGTCGGACAGACAGACGGCCAGTGACGGTGTGATCCTGCACGTGGCCAAGGCAGCGGGAGGCGGGCCCCGGGGTGGAGAGGCTGGGATCCCTTTGGACACAGACATCTTAGCAGGACCGGGGTGCCCTGCCCCCTCCCACTGCCTTTGGACACCTGTAAAATGGGTTCTTCTGATGTTCTCATCCACTGTGCCAGCCCCTCAATGGACCCCCAGAGAGAGCGCCTCTGCGGGCCCTTCCTGGTGGGGAAAGGAGGGGACCCCTGGCTGCTCGGGGTCCTCCCCTGACTCCGCTTTGCCGCAGGTGGCGGTACAAGCTGGCGGCCTGCAGCGTGAGCTGTGGGGGTGGGGTGGCGCGGAGGACCCTGTATTGTGCCCGGGCCCACGGGCAGGACGAGGACGAGGAGATCCTGCCAGATACCCAGTGCCAGGGGCTGCCGCAGCCAGAGCCGCAGGAGGCCTGCAGCCCGGAGCCCTGCCCGCCCAGGTCAGCAGCCCCGGTGTCCAGCAGGTGGCCTGAGCTCCGGGGTGCAGGCGCCAGGCCAGGGCCATGGGGACTAAGGGCTGGCCCAGGGGCTCAGGACACAGTCCTCAGAAAACGGGACCAGGTGCCAGAGATGGCGGCCAACGCACCGGCCACGCTGTGGGTTCTCATGGGGTGTGGGTGTGGGTAGCGCTGGGCAGACACTTCATTGGGTGGAGGAGGCAGATGGGGTGGGGCCTGAGGTGGTCCCAGTGGGGAGCCAAGCACCAGGCACACAGGCAGA